GGGGTTGCACTCAATGATCTCTTCAGGTCCTTCCAACCCCTCTGATTCTGTGATCCTGTAATTTTAGAAGCTGGCTGGATAATTGTTACAATGGTACCCTACCGTTCTGAGACTGACTGACAATTAACTTATTTGGCTTTTCTTTTCTGGTTTAATATTAATTTAGGACCTAAGTGAATTCAAGGAAGTAACGTCGTGTGTCTTTCCCCGGTAAGATTTTAATTCAAACTTGCAACTTCTTTAGTGCTGTTTTTATCAAACTGATGCTATTTTTGTAGTGCTGTGACAAGAAGTAAAATTGTGAGCAAGTTAGATAAATAGTTTTAAAAATATTATGTGACATGTCTTGTTCACAAGAGCTGTGCTATTCTTCTTGACAAAAAATGATACTTTTGCCCTCTGCTTTTTGTCACAATTATTGGTGTTTTGACAAAACATCAAATGAGTCTGCACTGCATTTGGAACAAGATCTGTTTGCTACTGACAATGTCTTTTGCTACTGTTTAGTCAGTGGACAAAGCCAATGCGTTTTGACTGCTCTGAGATCTGAGAATAATGCTTCAGTAGGGTGAGACTGCTGCTTCCTAGCTAATTCACCCAAGCATTTCTAAGGGTTTGGTGAAATGAACGTTCTTCTGTTCTAACTTATTAACTCTTACTTTGTTTCTAGGCTATTGGATACAAAACTGATGGCAAGTACGCAGCCTTTTAAGGTAAATTGATGTAGTGTTTTGGAATGGTTTGAAGTTACAAGAGTGTATCAAAACATTTTTTTTAGGTAAATGTCTAACAACATGTCTATCATGATCTTTAAAAAAAAAAAAAAAAGATTTTTCTTGTCCCCTTATCTGAACTCCTGAAATTCTTAGGATACAAACTAACATTTGATCAAGTGATGTTTGTTTGTTGCAGTTTCAATGTAACATAGATCTTTGAGTTACAAAGTGTACAGTATGCAGACTTCGGTAGTTGCCCTTAATATGTTCAACCTTTTTGACTGGTATTTCAGATATTTTCCCTTGCTCAGCGTGCTGCCTTTCCCACATCCCATATGTGGAAACAGATTCAAATAGAATATAATTTTGGCATAATGCGTCTTCAAGAACTCTGGAGAGTATTGATAAATTCTTGTGACTCATAGGTGCTGTGTTGTGGGCAAGGCAAGTTAGCTTTTTAAAACTTGTGTGGATGGACTTCTCTGATGTAATGGTTTTGGAATAAGGTCCTGTGCAAGCCCTTGCAGGACACAAGGTGGCAGCAGTAAGGATTCATTTTATTCTGTTTGATTTCGGCTTCCGGAGGAAATGTGTGTGACCATGGCAGTTAACACTAACCTTTCTTGCAGGACATCATTAGTAATACATCCCTTGCAGAACTGGAAAAGCGTTTAAAAGAGGTTCCGTTCAGCCCTCCTAAAGTTGGTAAGGATGTATCAAAATGGTGGACTTTTTTTATTTCTTGGCCCGAGATGTAGATTTCCATACTAATATTTAGTACTTTGCTGAAAGGGGCTTTAAAATCAGGCAATATTAGACAGTGCAGCTGTATTTAGTTGGTAGGAATCCTTGCACTTTATTTCAGATAAGAGAAGAATGGAGGTGTTTCAGTGAACAGCAGTTTTGTCATTTTCTAATGATGGCATTTGTTCTTTAGCTTGATTTTTGGAGAGTAATTTCAAACTGTTTAAAACTCTCTTATCTGCTTATAATTGTCTGTCAGATCAAAGCCAGTATACTGTGAGGGGCACTTGAGCAAACAGAACTAAGAAATTCTGCAAGTAGTGATTAGTTATACATGTTGTACAAATTAGTTGAGTTCCTCTGGAGCTTTCTTTGCTTTGAGGTGAAAGAAAGAATGTTTAATAGAAGGGTAAGCTTGTCTCAACATTGAACGGGTGGCTCAGAAGGTAAGACTATGATAGAAGGGAAGTGTATCTATTTAAGAGTAACTTAAGCTCTGAGTGACTGCTCTTTTAGCTGCAAGGCAGTCAGGAGAAAGAGTGGTGTATGGGGAAATCCTGTTGTTTCTGCATTAATATTTTGTCAGAGCTAAGTAGGTATGTGAAAGATGAGATCAATAGTTTCCTAATAGGGTTGGGTTTCTATCCCAGGAACCTGTTCTTCTTTAAAAGATGTACGTGGTCAAAAACTTCTGAAAATTGTAAAAGCTTTCTAGAAATGATACTCTGTGACAAAATAAGTGTGTGTGTGTGTGTGTGTCAACATACAGGTAACTGGAGTGATGTATGCTGACAAACTACGTTTTCTCTTTAGAAAGTGCAGAAGGATTTCCAAGTTATGACACAGCTTCTGAACAACTTCATGAAGCGGGATACGATGCTTACATTACTGGACTGTGCTTCATCTCCATGGCTAACTTTTTAGGTATCTATGTAGTCTTTTTCAGACCTTAGTGCAATGTGTAGCTTCTTATTATGTACTGAATTTCTGCTTTCTTTGTTAGGTTCGTTTCTTAGTCCTCCAAAAAATCATGTGTCTGCTAGATCAAAACTCATCGAACCTTTTTTTAACAAGTAAGTTATGCCATACTTCAAAGAATGTGAACCCAAACCCTTCTAAAACCTTGAAATGTAACACTAGCCTCGGAATCAATGGCTAACAGCATTTTTCTTAGCACTTCAATTTCTGCTAGACTTTCTTCTTCACACTAATAATGCTGCAATGAAGCCAAAATTTGTACAGTGAATACCTTTTATTTGGAAGACAATAATTTACTTTCTGCTAGCCTGTAAAGGGACACTTAGGAGAGTTAAACGTAGACTGTTAGAGTTAAACCATCAAAACCTGGACTTCTCGAATGGCTTTGCCAATGTCAGTGTTGGGAACATGGCTGTAATTTTATCATTATTTGTAGGGCGAGATTTGGGAGTAGCACAGTTGAAGAAGAACCGGTCGGGTGTTCTTTGTGGTGTGGTGCACTAAGACTGCTGATAAAATTAAAATTGAGCATGCTTAAATAATGTGGAAAAATTAAAATCTAAATAACAAAAAGCTGTTGTATTAACTTGTTGGGTAATGGATCGTTTTGAGGAATAAGAACCACACATGATTAGTAGGCTGTATGGGATGAAGATATGATTGGTATTTTTCTGTTTTACTTCAGGCTATTTCTTATGAGAGTAATGGACATACCATATCTGAATTTGCAAGGACCAGACTGTAAGTAGCTTTACTTTTTGTGTTCTTACTACCATTCTGACAAATTTCCTGGAGGAGGAGGTGTAAAGATTCGTTATACATTTACACGCAGGACTCTAGCTGTGTTTGGGTTATTAGCCATTTATCAAAGGATAAAAACTTCACCCTTTTATTTGAAATTATATAGGGGATTGACTAGGACAGGTTAGACTCTTTAAACTGAATGTAAGAGGGTTGAAGATAGTAGCTTATATTTCTGTGTGAAGTCTAAGCATGGTGACCTGTTAGAGGTGGTGTCCTAACTCACATGCCTTCCTCTCCCCCCACTTGGCAGTAAGTACAGGATGCAAAGTACTGAATAGCAAATGGTCCCAAAAGTCTCCTGGCTTGCTTTCTTCACAATTGCCATGTAGTAGCATGTTTTCCTTAATTTCAGCCAAAATATCAGATTTATTTTTTTTGCCACATTAGGAAGTGATTTGAGAAATTGAACAACAGTATCTGAAATATTACTTAAACGTTTAAAGTTTTTCAAGGTTACAGACAGGGGGCTATAATAACTTGCTAATATAAGAGCATGTTTTACTGATACAGCCTTATTCTTCTGGAATGTTATATCATGAAGGAGAAAGCTTTGGATGAGTGTTACCACTGGTGCCTCTACTTAAGAAAGCATAAAGTCCTGCAGGTCAGCCTAGTTTTTGACCTAGGTGAGGGTTTAACTTTGTAGTGTCTTATATATGACTTATGTGATGCATCTTGGAGGTACAAGGATGTCTTCACAGAGAAACAATGCTCATCTGGAAGAGCCACTGAAGACATTTTCCACACATGTGTTAGAAACCTCAGACTGAAAGATGACCCTTTTGTTATGTGCTAGTTCAATGGTAACAATGTAGTTCTAGAAAGATGGAGAGGTAAATATATACTGTAGTGGCATGCATGTAATTTTCAAATGCAGGAGGTGAACAGATCACTGAGCAGTGGCTCTGCAGATCTAGTGGAATGGTTGTTTAATTATATTTCCCCAGTTTGATACTGAGTGGAAGGGTAGCATAGGCAATACTCTGGATCGTTGAGAGAAGGCCAAAGCTACTAAACTGTGAAGATGCTGCTTCTGCTTGCTGGCCAAATTACAGGATCATTTGGATGCTTTGCCAAGAAGAGATGCCAAAAAAGACTCTGAAAATCTCTCTTTTATCTGCAAGTGCCCTCAGCAGAGCAGACTGATGCAGGCATTTCAGCAGAATCTGAACCAAGGATACCTTCTAAGCTTCAAAAAAATGTACACATAGTGTGGCTCTTTGAGTAGAAATAGAAGTTCATAAAGCAGCCAGAGATTCAAACACTGCTGTTGGCTGACAGCGTTGCCTGGACATTTTTTTTTGCTTGCAGGTGGCCTTTATGCAAAGAAGTAAAATCATGCAAAGCATGCAAAGAATAAAGCTACACTATGGAGGAAGTTATGCTTAGGGTCTGTGCTTTAAAAAAAAAAAAGTGCAGCTAACCAGCTGACTGCCCAGAGTGTTGCAGTGTTTGTCACCTTGTTTATTCTGCTCAATTGCAGCTGGTTTGAGCCATTTTTCTAGAAATGATGGGCTTTGGTTGCACAAACAGTCTGATTATGTGAAAGTGACTTTCGTGGTCTTCAGCGTTGATTTCTTTTGTGCAGATGATCCTCACTGGGTGAGGTCAAGATATCCAGATATCTTTCAGTGTATATAAACATCTTTGGTGCCTTTTTTGTGTGTGTTGGCCTTTGTATGTATTTTTTTCTGGTGACGACTTTATTAATAGGAAGTCTGTCAGTGTGTGTTCTGTCTTGTACCTGGAATGAAAACTGCTTTGAACATTGTTTCAGGGCTAAGGTTTTTTTTACTGACAGAAAAATTGTATCATTGAATTATTGCTAAGAACATACTAAAACCAGAGCCAGAGCATGAAGAGCCTGCTGCTTTTTTGCTTTATTTTTCTATACTTAGCCCCAAACAGATTGATTTTGTGGGCAGTTCCTGCTGCATGTAATGCTGCTTCAGTTTCTTACACAAAATCATACTAGATCATCTGTATATCTACTTCATGCGTAAGTGTGGACAAGTTTTCCCTGATGCCTGGTGTTGTTCCATAGGTCTTGGCCTGTTTTCTTTATAATAATAAAAAGTAAAAGTTATATGACCATGTAAGGTAACTTTTTCTTTTTTAAGGTTGTGCTAAAGATACCAGTGGTAACTTTTATTCTAATAAATAACTTCTTATTTTGCAGTGCAACCAAAACGAGATCATGTTCTTCACGTCACTTTTCCCAAAGAGTGGAAGACTAGTGACCTTTACCAGCTTTTTAGTGCCTTTGGTGAGTAATATAATCTAGTCTTCCTTATGTCTTTTTTTATTTTTTAATTTTTTCCTCTGACGATGGAAAATACGTCTGATTTTCTTTGTTATTTTTGACCTATGAATTTGGGCTTAGTATGGGTAAATCATACATAAATCATAATCAGTAATTTTTGAAAGATACCTTTTGGAATTTCTTTGTAGTGATGTGTCTAAAATGTCTGCCTCGCTGAACTGCTCTTTAGAAATCTTTGTTACCTGGTACTTGTTAAATATTGTGGAGCTGTCATCTTAATATTCATATCCTCTCCTGGTAAAGAGTTGAGACTGAAGGTGACCAAAGGGAAAGGCTCTTGGTATGACAGGCAGATCAAGCCCTCAGGAGTGAAGTCAGTGACTTAAGTCATAGTTTGTAGTGTGGCAGAGGGATTCAGGGCAAACCTGAATCTTCCCTTGATTGAAGGAGTTACAGTGTGAACCCTAAGGATGTCTAATCACCAGTAACAGGGTGAAAGTCCCTCAATATACTCAATATTGTCACTTCAGTGCTTGCTCTGATTCTCTATAGTAGTAACTGTTGTCATATAACTATAATAACATTTCAGTAATAATATCTGTCTCTTCACCTAGAATGTGACTCAGTAGCCTGTTCAGGATCTCTGTTCCTTTTGACTTCATCTGCGTTGCAGTGTGAAGCTACTATAATGCAGGATAGAACTTTATATTCAAATTTGATAAGTCTAGAATGTAAGTTGCTGAGATTTTTCTTCAGTTAGACTCGCAGGGGTAAGAACCCCATGTAAGAGCAGCTTGGGTATTGTTTCTGCAGGCTTTTAAACACTCAGCCATATAACTTCACACGTTTGAACAACTCCTTATCAGTGTTGGTGTGAAACGGAAGCAGGGATCACTACCACCAGAGGTCATGCTTACACATCTGAAGTACTATTCAATTTGGAATTGGAATTTATCTGTTTTTTTACAGATTCTAGAGCTGTGTGCTTTCGGATTTAAATTTACAAACTTGTGGTATTTTGGATAATGCTTAATCCATGTCAGAACAGGCTGCAGAGGATGCCTTCCAGAATTATAGGATCCCAAGCTTTTTCAGCTGTAGCTGGATAGAGAGAGGGGCAATGTGAGATGCAGTGATTTGCCAAAAGCCTAAAAAATGTGGCAGCAACAGATGTGAATTATTTCCATTTATAATGCTAATTGAATTAAAGTGTTTTTAAAGTAAACTTTCACCTGGATTCTAAATAAATTGTCAAGCTAAATAATAACGTTGATCTGCCCTTAGAGAAAAACCTTTTTGACTTGGTTTTAGCCTAGTACTTGAATTAGAGTTGTAATCTCCTGTGAAGTTTCTAATGAAAGCAGTGAGACAGCCGAAGGGACTGCGATGTCAAACTTGCAGCTGAAGTACTGCATGCAGACCAAGTGGAAACCTGTTGTTGCAAGATGTTTTTACAGTCTCATGAGTGAATGTAATTTCACTGAGCAAGTGCTCGCAGTACTGTGCACTCTAAAAACATTTGTTTCTTTAAACACTGTGTGTTTAGATGTGAAGGTATTCAAAATAGTATCTGTTGCAGTTCATCGCTTTTGTGCATATCTTTCACAGCCACTTAAATTAATGGGTTTTAATTAAAACATGTACTACCACAGTATTGTAAAAACCTGCTACGTGATTTTTTTCCAAATGAGTGGAGTCAAACCTCTGCATCCTGGTTTGTGAGACCACGAGAGACTTCTTTGAGAGGGAAGTGAACAGTGGTGTATTCATGGAACCTTGCTGATCTGGAGATGCGTAAATGACTTTAAAAGAAATAAAAGTAATTGATCCTTCATGTGCTTAAACCTTGTTCTGATAGTCCAAGCTACTACATACGTAGCTTTAAGTGACTTTTAAATCCAACTTTGAGACTCAATTGCAGGTTCCACACACTATGACATTTGTTCCTGGCTCCCTCTGCTGAAAAATCCTCACTTAACTTTTTTTTTCTTGTTTTTTTTTTAAAGAGAAGTGGAGCTTAAAAAATGACCCTGTCACATGTGAACAATCCAGTTTAAGGAGGAACTTCTTGCTAACTATTCTTCTGTAGCTTAGGTTCACATAGGCATCAGAGCTTCATGTACTGCACCTTTTAAAATTGCAATTATTTTATTCTGATCCTGTATTTCTGTGTACATTTCTGGTCTTTCCTCCCCCTTTTCACGGCAATGTTTCCTTCAGCTGTTTTTGCTTTCTTTGCACTTTCTTCCTGCCGGAAAGGTGGAAGCTCTGTTAACCCTTTTCAATTATTCACCAGGAAAATGTTGTTTGCATTCAATATATGCTTCGACTCTTATTCACAGAAAAGATTCAGCTATTTCTTTTGTCTGATGTTGGTGTATAGAAACTTTGCAATCCTAAGGTGGTGTCACTGTGATCATTTTTCTTCTCTGTAATACAGTAGAATGTACTTACAATCTCTTTTTCTTTGGCTAAATGAAGGTAGCAAGTGATTAGGAAATGTAAGAAACAGAGCCAAAGTAAAACAGTTTTCCTGCCTTTTAGCAACCTACAACTTCAGGGACTCATGAATTAGAGGTCACACGTACATCTTTCAGTTCAAGTGCCTTTCATGGGTCAGGTAAAAGTCACATGAAATTGAAGTGCATTTTAAGTCAGTTTGCATCATTTTTTAAAATCCTGTGAAGTCTGAAGGTTAAATGGTGATATGACTGTAGATGTAATGTCATATCCTGGTCTGCCTGAAAAAGGTCACACCAGTTTTCAGTGTCTGACATGTATGGACAGTCCTCTTCTAAGGACTGGAGGTGTAAAAGGATTTCAGACTGCAGAGTAAGTCCTTGTGTCTGAGGTGGGAATCTTTGCCTACATGTTTTTTCCTTTGTAAGCAGTTTTTGTGCCTGTGTTACATTTTAAGCTATTCCCATAGAAAATGGAATGTATGTTTGATGAATGGAGGAACTCGATTCCAGTCACTTCCATTTTGACAACTTCCAAATGAGGTGCACAGTTTTTGTGTATTTGACCTCCTCTTATTTCTGAAAATGAGGTTTTCGTTGTGCATCCAGGAAATAGTATGAAAGTGTGACACAAACCAGACTTGGAGGACTTAGTGTTGCAATACTTAGAGTTCTCTGTTTGTGTGAGCCACCTTTTCCCCCCTACACTACCAGAATTTTTTTTATCTTGTAGCTGTTTTGGAAAAGGAACAGTGAGTGGTAATTTGGGCCAATCCTTTCTTTGTCTTCAAAAAATGCTGCAGTTCTGAAGAATGGACTGGTTTTGAAACCCCAAGAGATGATCTTTATTTTGGTACAAAATTGAAATTACATACCAAAATTACTTTGATTTTTATTGTGGAAATATATAGGGCACATGGAGTGAGGGCTGAAAAGCTGCTGATTATAACTTGTTAAAAGATTGGAAGGAGAAAAAAATACAAAAAGGCAGAAGAATCCTGTAGGAGTCTGAAAGGCATTAGTCACATCTCATGGTTTTTTTTCCTCCTTACTCAAGTGAGTCTGAGGGTATACAGGATGAGCATGCAGTGGTCACTCTTTCTGAAGTGGTTCTGGGCTCAGCTATGCATGGTGATGCAATATTCACCTTTACCGTGGAGTCTTGTTGCTAAAAAAATAAAATAAAAAAATAAAAAAAAAATTCTCAGCTGAAGTTACACTTAATTGAGCATCTTCTTATCTGTCATCTGGCACAGCAGATGAGATATGTGGCTGAGCCTAAGATAAAAACAATCGTTTCTTTTGCCTTTTCTAGGTAACATTCAGGTTTCATGGATTGATGATACGTCAGCATTTGTATCGTTGAGCCAGCCAGAACAAGTACAAATAGGTAAGTGTTTCTGAAATTACTTCAGAATTAAGGTGAGACTTCAACTGCTTTAAAATTCTCTAAGCCAGCAGCATCTGCAATTCTAGTGACAAAACCACTGTGTTGCACAGAGAAGTGACCAATGGCTCTGAATTTATTGGAAGTAAACCTTCCAGTTATGCAGAAAAGCAGTTTTTGCTTTTGAGATTTTCTTCATTCATTGTTGCTGGGTCCACCAGACCCCAGTAGTTTCCATGGTCAAGGAACTACTCATAACTTATAGCTTGAGAACACTGACCTAAAACAGCCTGTTATACATGATTATTCTGGTATTGTCATCCCTTTTTATTCAATGCTCACATGAAAGCATCCAGCGGAGAGCCATGAAGGTGATGAAGGGCCTGGAGCATCTCTCCTGTGAGGAAAGGCTGAGAAACACGGGTCTGTTCAGCCTGGGGAAAAGAAGACTAAGAGGGGATCTGGCCAATGTTTGTCAATCTCTGAAGGGAGGTGGGAGGCAAATGGATGAGGCCAGGCTCTTCTCGGTGCGCAGCAACGGGACGAGGAGCCATGGCCTAAAATTTGGACATAGGAGGTTCTGTCCTGACATGCAGAACTTCCTTGTGGGGAGGGTGACGGAGCGCTGGCACAGGCTGCCCAGGGAGGTGGGGCAGTCTCCTCCTGTGGGGATATTCCAGAGCCATCTGGGCGCTGAGCTGTGCGACCAGTTGCAGGGCCTGCTTAGCAGGGGGTTGCACTCAATGATCTCTTCAGGTCCTTCCAACCCCTCTGATT